AGAGAGAGAGAGAGAGAGAGAGAGAGAGAGAGAGAGAGAGAGAGAGAGAGACTACAGTGCTAACCAATATTAGGTAAATTGTAAATGCCATACTAATGATGCAAAATATTATAGGAGAGGCCTCAGAGCAATGGGTAAGAGCCTGGACTCTAGAAATGACTGACTAGGTTTGAATCCTAGCTCCACACTTACTAGCTATATATTCTTGGGCAAGTTACCTAACTTCCCTGGTGCTCAATGCCTCTATCCATAAAACCGGGACTCATACATACCTAGCTCACAATGTTACTGTAAAGGTTAAATGAATCAATACAAGTAAAGGACAGTGCCTCACACATGCTGAACAGTCAATAAATACTGTTTTGTTTTGTAATAGAAAATTGAAAAGGGAAGAAATCATATCCATCTGAGTGGATCATGGAAGGCTTAATGGAGGAGGTGACACTTAAGAAAATGTGGAATGTGAATGAAGAATGATGAGGAAGGGGAGTGATCAAAGGGAGGAGTAGTGGGAAGGGGCAAGTAGTATGGGACCATGAATAGAGAGATGTGGGGTGGCACATGGCAGTTGGGAGGTATTGAAAGATACATCTTCAAAGTGACAGGGGTCAAAATGTGGAGTGTTTTGAATATCCAATTAAAAACTGGAGTTAATCGTTGAGCAATGGGAATCATTAAAGGATTTTGAGGAAGAGATAAAGCCTTCATTTGGCTGCAGTCAAGCCTGACAACTTTGCACTTTTATTGTACAGTGTTACCCACTTCAGACACCAGTGACTCTTTGAGGACTAACGTTTTGATTAAGGGAAAAGAAGAAAAAGACAGCGGTAGAAAAAGGGGGTGAATAACTAAAGAAGAATGGTGGGAGGGGAAATAAAAAGTAGCCTGGTAGGAAGTCTTCCTTAATTCTTCATTCCAGGGGATGTTCAGTGACAGAACTTGAGGCATAACGCTACTTTCTCTCCATTAAAAACTTGAACTCCCCGCCTCAGTTTGGGGCTTCCTTTAATTTTCAGACTATCTTTTTGGCCTGTGAGATGCAAGCGTAGGGCATTAGGACCCAGCGATTGTTGTAGTGAGAGTGGTTGAATCTCGATCTCTCAATTTTTCTCTCGAGCTCCCTCCTCTCTCTTTGTCATTCTGGCTGCCTGCTGCCTCCGCAGCGTCCCTCTAGCTCTCCCTGTGCTAACTGCCTGCGCCTTAGACCGACGGGTGAGCAAAGCAGAAGGATTAGTTGGGACCTGCTTTGGTGACCTTATGGCATCCCCCAGAACCGTAACTATTGTGGCCCTCTCAGTGGCCCTGGGACTCTTCTTTGTTTTCATGGGGACTATCAAGTTGACCCCCAGGCTCAGCAAGGATGCCTACAGTGAGATGGTAAGTGAGGCAAACGGGCGATGAGGAGCGCACCCCCATGGGATTTCTGGTACCTCTCCCCTTCTTTCTCTGTCTCTAGTCCCATCCCCTTAACCTCTACCCCCACCCTGGATCTTCCTTTCTCCCCAACAACTTTGCAGCTTGGGAGGAGCAGTTGGACAAGAGCGATTTCATTCGTGGGCTATACTGGGAGCAACTGTTTTGGAACCACTGAATATCAGTGGGGGGAGGGGCTGACCAGCGAGTACCCCCCAACCCCAAGTAAACCAGAAGGCTGAGCCCGGTGTAACACCTGTCATTGGCAGGAGTCCTTCCCTCTTTCCAGCACACACCCAAAGTCCAGGGCACCAGTCTGCAAGTCTGATTCCTAACCTCCGAGCTAAGAGTTTAAGAAGCCGGAGAGTTTATTTATTTTAGGGAGGAACAAAGAAGGAAGAGGGGGAGAGCTGGGAAGAATGGGTTACTAAAAGGAGCAATTTGTAGGGGCTGGCTAGGTAGATATTCTTCACCCCAGGCACAGAGCTGATAGTATTCCTCTAGCTCCCCTGCACGTATTTGGATCCTTAAGACAAAGCAGTCTTGGCCCAAATAAAGGTCATTGAGCTCCTGCTTCTGCCCTTCTCCTAAGAGAGAGCTAGATATTTTATTTTGTTTTTTAATGTAGGCTAATCTGCAAAGTCTGCCTTTTCTCTCCTGCAAAACAGTTCATAATCCCATCTTTCCTCCAATGAATGCCTGGGGCCAGGCCCTCTGCAGGTTTTCCCCTCTGCAGAGTTGGAATCACTGAAGGTGACTGGCCAAAACATCTCTGCAACCTGGGGGCTGGGCTGCTTTCCTCAGTTGGGTGTGATGAGGACTTGCTTTTATGTTGTGGAGTACTAGGAGGTAGCAAGAATGTTTCCAGCACTTTCGGTTGGTTGCCTCTCCCCCTGTCACTTTACCTCTTCATTTCCCCGCCCCAGATGAAGGGCACCTGCTTCTCCAAGCCTTTGCCAGACTGCCAGTAATGGGAGGGAGCACATTACTGGGCTCTCAAGGTCAAAAAGGAAATGAGCTTAGGGGAGGAACAGAAGGGAGACAGAAAAGAGGCAAGAGGGACTCCCTGTTAGGGCTGATGCTGAGAGAAATAGCTTCACACGTTGAGATGAATTAATCACTCTCCTGGAGCCCAATGCAGAGCTTTCCAGGGCCCCTCAACGTGAACTGCAAATGGATGGACACTGGCAAATTATAGATGCTCAGAAAATGTTTGCAGGCAGCTCTGGTTTCTGTCTCAGGGTTTGAGCTAGAGCTTTCCATTTCTTCTTAACCACAGGATCAACCTGGGGTGGGGGAGGGTGGCTGGAACTCAGGGCTTAGGTCTAGCCCCAGTGGCAAATCCTAATATCCTTCTCCTTTCCCCCCTCCCCTCCGCCCAGCATGTTTGACCAGATGGAATTGAAATCAGGTCAAAATGAGTATCTAAGGCAGTCTGGTGTGTGTGTGTGTGGGGGGGGGTGAGGTAGCAGAAGCCACCAAAGGGTTTGAAAAGATTGGGGCAGATGGAGAGGGTGCAGGGGAAATGTCACTATATTTTTGTCTTGGTTATAGTAGTTTAATGTTATATTATAAATAAATGAATGTGTTCTTGCTTTACTCTTCATATGTACATATATTTATGTATTTGTGTGTGTGCACCATAGTATTTTAAGGCTTTCCCTGTCTTAGGGAAATTGTACCCTTCTTCAGTATAAATCCTGATCTCCATACCTTGCTCAGCTAGCTGCTTTAAAGGCCCCCAAAGCTGTACCCTAAGTACAGTGTTAGGCTCTGCAGACAATCCAACTAAGATGGAGTCACCGGGAAGCTTCCTACCAGCTTGGCAGGAGCTCATGAGGAGGACCAGCCACACATGGGTTTACAGTAGGCTTGTTCCTAGGGAGTAGAGCTGTCTATTGCAACCTAATGAAAGAAAGAAGAAACAAACATGAAGATTTCATGTCATATGTGGGAACATATTTAAATAATTATAATCTAAAATAGTAGAGTGGAACCACTGTGTGTGTGTGTGTGTATGTGTGTGTGTGTGTGTGTGTGTGTGTATTCACATCTATGCTTCTGTGCTCATGAGCATCTGGAAGGAATGGAAAGACTACATCTAACTGGGAGGTAGATGTCACTGTGGTATGAAGCTTTGAAGAGGATTTTGAGACTGCCCTTTTTCAGGGTCCTTTCCTGTACTGAGCATCAGGATAGAGATGGCTCTCTGGGATAGACCCACTGCATAGTGCCTAGGCTTGGCCCAGCTTTATTCTTAAGCCCATAGGAAAAGGGGGAGATTTAATTCTAGTACAAAGAAGGCACTCAATGTGTGTTTGTGTGTAGATATACATACACACATATACACATATATATGTGTATCTGTGTATATATATAGAAGTGTGTGTGTATGTGTATATATATACACACACAAAAGTACAGTTTTTTGTATGTATATATATACACATATATGTGTATATATATATATACATACATATTTTTGTATATGTATATATATGTGTATATATACACATACACACATATAATGGATGATGAATAAGAGAGTCATTGTAGGGCTGGGGATATAGTTCAGTTGGTAGAGTGCTCGCCTCACATGCACAAAGCCCTGGGTTCAATCACTAGCACTACACACACACACACACACACACACACACACACACCAAAAAAAAAAAAGACCTTAATTGGTCACCCCCCCCTCAGATTTCTTTGATTTTCTCTTGATTATGCAGTTCAGGAGCTATTTATTGTTTTTTAGAAGAGGTCAATAGTCCCTAAGAACCCCAAGCCTAGATCAGATTGGATGATTATCTGGAATTTTCTGTTTTCCATTTATGAGTGATTCCTCTGCATTGATGGGGTTAGTCATGTATTGACTGCAGTGGCATTTCTCATAAGATCTTAAAATGCTGTTGTAGCTATTATTGCTTTTAAGATGATTTGGTTTTTAAAACAGCTCTGTGAGATAGATTCATTTTATTAGCTATTCTTATTTTACTGATGAATAAACTGAAGCACAGCAAGTTTAATGACTTATCCAAGGTCATAGGGTAAGCTGTTGTTGGAGCAGAGATTAGAAACCAAGTTCACGAGCCAATACTCCCAGTGGAGGGGTCATTGGTGTTTAAAATTATTGGATTTTTTTTTTGGAGGCCAGAACCTACAACTGATTCTTGAAAATAACTGGTATGTTCTGCCTCCCTTTTTTTTTGTACCAGTTCAATTCCTCAATCTATATTTTTGGATTTTGTTTTATTTTTACTTTAGAACCAATTTTTCAAATTTAGATGTTTTGTTTTTACTTCTCTGACAATTTTTTTCTTGTTCTAAAACCATTAGTGTTATGCTTAGGTGTTATTTCCTCCATGGAGAATCACTGCTAAAAACGGAATAGATAAATTATTATGACCCCCCCCCCCCGTCTTGACTGGAGATGCCAGAAAAGATCAGAGGAAAAAGTACAGTTTTTTTTTTTGTGTGTGTGTATGTGTGTGTGTGTGTGTGTGGTTGTTGTTGTTTTAAGTACTGGAGATCACACCTAAGGCCTTACACATGAAAGGCAAATACTCTACCACTAAGCTACATTCCCAGCCCAAGAATGCAGGCTTTGGATTCATACAGGCTTGGGTTTGTGTCCTGGCATTTTGGTGTTTCCTTATTTATAAAATGGGTATAATAATAAATATCTCAAAAGGTTGTAAATATGAACAGAGATTGCTTATGAAAGTATTTTATACAGGGGCTGAGGCTGTGGCTCAATGGTAGAGCACTTGCCTAGTATGTGTGAGGCACTGGATTCGATTCACAGCACCATATATAAGGAAATGAATAAAATAAAGGTCTATACATCTAAAAATATTTTTAAAAAGAAAGTATCCTTTACAGTGTTTGCTGTAGTAGATGTTCAAGAAATGCTGAGGGCTAGTGATGTAACTCAGTGGTTTGGCCCTTGCCCAGCATGCATGAGAACCTGGGTTTGATTCTCAGGAAAGAAGAATGAAAGAAAGAAAGAAAGAAAGAGAGAGAGAGAGAGAGAGAGAGAGAGAGAGAGAGAGAGAGAGAGAGAGAGAGAGAGAGAGAGAAATGCTCTGCATGAGGTGATGATGATAATTTATTATATTTTATGCAGTGGATTTCTAACTAATTGAATGGTCTGTTTAAGGGACTGAAATCAAGCATTTAGAAGAAAAATATGCTATTTTTGTGTGCCCTGGTAAACAAAATTATATGACCAGCTAGTACTAAAAAATCTACTTACTGCTGGGTAATGCACAGTGGATCCCATGTGGAACTTGCAGATGCATCTCTGAATAGCCCATTTGGCATGTGTTGTCTCATACCTCCTCCAGAATAAGCAAGTATTATAGAGTACTCTAAATCCTACGTGAATCCAACATGATTTGCTACTCCTTTAACTAAATGCCTTCATTAGTTTACTTGAACTGGAAGACAGTACTTACAGGTGCTGCTAGGCAGTTTCCTATGCAGTGATTAACACATGAATGGTTAATTTGAATTAAGTTTGATATTCAGCTTTTTGTAGCAGTGCTTTTATCCTGTCAGCACAGGGAGCCAAATGTGGAATGACAAGAAAACACCAAAATTCTGTCAAAATGAAACCAAAAAATTTTGGCCCTGAGGATAATGAGACACATCTTAGATTTTTTGAATCTCCTCATAGTAGAGGTTTGTTGATTTGGTTGATTTAGTTATTTAGTTATCTGTCCTCCCATTTGTGAACCCTGGGGATACACACCCAAAATGTTCAGGCAGCTTATTTAATGTTCATATTTAATGAACTTAATCATATTTAATATTTAATATAATAAGGTAGTCATTCACTGGTGCTTAGTCTGCTCTCTGTACCAAATGTTTATTTCCTTAGAGAGGAAACTGAGACCCTGAGATAGGAAGTGATTGTACTTAGTTATCACAGCTAGCCATCACAAGTTAATCTACACAAT